GAACCCGGGAGGCAGAGGTTGCAGTGAGCTGAGCTCGTGCCACTACACTCCAGCCTGGTGACACAGTGAGACTGTGTCTCAAAAAAAATAAAATTAGTGCATGATAATCTGCATAATAATGTATTTGGCTCTTTTAAAAGGTTTTTGTAAATAGTCTCAGGATTTTTACAACAAACTAATTAAGATGAAAATTAGAAAAAATTGAATGAATTATTAGAATTCATAACTTAGTAAAATAATAATTGATTAATGTAGATGGTATTATTTACAGCCTCATATCTGAATCGAAAGGTATACAGAAAGAAGCAACATTTGCATATTCCAAGTGAGTTTTTTTTTAAGGATTTACAGTTACAGGGATAGATGTCTGTATTTTTTTCTTTCTTTTTTTCTGTTAGATGTCTGTATTTTTTTTGACAAATTCCTATTTTATCTCTTTTTGGGGAGGGTTGGTCCGGGGAATAGAGACCATATGAAATTCTATGCTGCATGTCAAGAAAATAGTGAAGATAGGCTGGGCGTGGTGGCTCACGCTGCCATCCAAGCTCTTTGGGATACTGAGGCAGGCGGATCATCTAAGGTTGGGGATTTGAGACCAGCCTGAACATGGAGAAACTCCATTGCTACTAAAAACACAAAATTAACCAGGTGAGGTGGCGTATGCCTGTGATGCCAGCTACTTGGGAGGCTGAGGCAGGAGAATTGCTTGTACCTGGGAAGTGGAGGTTGCAGTGAGCCAAGATTGCACCATTACACTCCAGCTTGGGCAACAAGAGCTGGGGTGGGGGGGGGGGGCGGTGGGAAGGTAAGATAAAATGGGGAATAGGAATTTAGGCCCAGAAGTTTTCATCTCTTCCTGACTATGGGCGTCCTTTATGGATTTCCTTCTCTCCTTCTTTCTCCTTTCATCCTCCTTCTCTTGCTCCTTCCCTTCCTCTGGTTGTCACACCTCTTTATCTCTTTCAGTCTGTAACAGTTTCTCCATCTTTCCTTGTCTTTCATGACCTTGACACTTTTGAAGAGTACTTGTCAGATATTTGCACCAACCTAATAGAATGTCTCTCAGTTTGAGTTTGTTTGATGTTTTCTTACAAAAAGACGGAGGTTATGAATTCTGAAGGAGAATGTCACAAAGGAGATATGCCCTTCTTGTGACATCGTATTGAAGCACACGATACCTCCATAACTCATTACTGGGGATATTTAACCTTAATCACTTGGTAAGGCGATGTTTGCCAGGTTTCTCTAATATAAAGTTTCTTTTTCTTTCTTTTTATATTTTTTAGTTATACATGTGTGACTTTTTTTTAAACACAAGGGTTTAGGAATTGTTTTATTTAGTTTCCAAATTTATGGGATTTATGGAAGTGATCCTTTTGTCTGAATTCCTGATTTTATTGTATAATTATAGAGTACATAGTTTATATGCTATTGATTTTCAGGAATTTGTTAACACCTCTTTGTGACCTGATTTATGATCTACTTTAATAAATGTTTCAACCATGCTTGAAAAGATTGTTTTTCCCCATGACTTAATTTCTACATCAATGAAATAGAAAGAACCAAAACATCCAATTCCTTTGATTATTTTTTGAAGGCTGCAAAACCAAAGACCCAATTGAACGAGAAAAATACTGCATTTGTTCTTTCTGACTCTTTTGCAGACTCACAATAGGGATATCTTGACACAAGTAAACATACTAGGGGAGAGAGAAAAATGAAAATATCTGTCCTTCCTGAAGATGGATTTGTTACCACTGGGTAACAGGTGCTTAATCCTCTGTGGGCGCACAATTCCAGACTACAGAGAGGCACTGGCCAGAGCGGAGGAGTAACCACCTGTGATAATGATGCGATCTGTGTTCATTCCTTAGAAGCCCTCCGGCCTTAGCTAATCTGTCTACGTGAGGCTGGGTCTTTGGTGTGCTGCCACGAAATATCACTGTATGCTAAGGTGGGGTGGCTGATGGGAGTGGGCTAGTTGTTCAGCCTAGTTGCTTAAAACACAGCATGGATACTCCTCTGTATTTGCCATGGGAAGAGGAATTTGATGGTCAAAGGCTTCATGTTGTGAATTTAAGTGTCTAATGGCCAGCCTCTCAGGTAGGACGCCATGCCCCTTGGTTGCTGCCCTGACACTCTCCTGCTATCTCTTGCTGATTCTCTTCGGTGAACTCTCGCAGATCCTACTGTTGACTCCCCACCTCCTCCTGGGCACCATAATCAAGGCTCACCTTCTAGCTCCTAGGAGAGATCGCAAGCCTTTCCAAATACAATGAGTCATCACAAAATAGGAAACTTTATATGGGCTTTTATTGTGCTGTTTGTTTCAACTTTCCTATATGTTTGAAAATTATCAAAGTTTATAGTTAGAAAAAAATCCACTTGTTTTTCCTCTCCAGAAAAGTTAGTATGGGTTGAATATCCCTTACCCAAATGCTTGGGACCAGAAGTGTTTGGATTTTTAATTTTTTTTTTTTGATTTTGAAATATTTGCATATACATAATAAACTTGGGGATGGGACCCAAGTTTAAACACAAAACTTATGTTTCATGTATACTTTATACACAGAGCTTGAAAAGAATTTTATACAATATTTTAAATAATTTTGTACATGAAACAAAGGTTTGTGTTTTGACTGAGACCCCTCACTCAAGATCAAGTGTGAGATTTTTCCACTGTGGCATCATGTTGACACTCAGAAGTGTCAGGTTTTGGAGAATTTCTTTTTTTTTTTTTTTTTCCTGAGACAGGGTCTTTCTCTGTTGCCCAGGCCAGAGTGCAGTGGCACGATCTTGTTTCACTGCAACCTCCACCCCCCGGGTTCAAGCGATTCTCCACTTCAGCCTCCTGAGAAGCTGGGACTACAGGCATACACAACCATGCCTGGCTAATTTTTTGTATTTTTTGTAGAGATGGGATCTCACTATGTTGCCCAGGCTAGCTCTGAACTCCTGGGCTCAAATGATCTGCCTTGCTTGGCTTCCCAAAGTGTTGGGATTACAGGTGTGAGCCACCACTCCCAGCCAGGTTTTGGAACATTCTGGATTTCAAATTTTTGGATTAGGGATGTTCAACCAGTAAACCTCAATGCTGGGCAATGTTGCAAGCAGTCTGCACTTTATCTGGATGAAGACAAAGAATGTCACTAACACTTGTCTATGTACAGATGGGAAATCTTGCTGAGGAAAAGACAATGATTCTCAAGCAAAAGGGGAAAAGGGAGAGAGAAAAGAGAGCACCCAGAGCTCAACAATAGTATCAAGAATAGGAGGTGGCAACAGGATGATTTGCAAATAATATTTGGTTATCATTAGAACAAAAAGACTATTCACTATACAGGGTTGTATGGAGTACTGGAAAGAGCATGAAATCAGAGACACTTCATTAGAATTCAAGTTTTGCTCTATATTTGCTGTGAGATTTTGGCTAAGCCAATTGACCATTCTGATTACACAGTCTTTACACATGCAAAATGCTAATACAGTTATATCAATGAAGATACATTGTGAGAAATACATCATTGTGCAAACAAAATAGGGTGTACTTATACAAATCTAGATGGTATAGCCTACTACATACTTAGGCCATAGAGCATAGCCTATTGCTCTTAACATTGTCATATATGGAGTCTGTTATTGACCCAAATGTTGTTATGCAATGAATGACTGTAGTAATACTCGCTACTTAGTAAAAATACCGTCATTAATGGTGTAGTATAATGGTAACTGGCATAGTAACACTGTAAATTGAATACAATTTTAGAAGGTTTTGAGGAGGGAGGTTCAGAACTGTTCTCCATTGATTTGCTTACAAAGACATTTTCATTTTCCACCAAAGGTTTTAGCTGTGAAAACTTTGGCAGAAATAATATTTTAGGAGTTTTTCCCCCTGTACTGTCAACTAAGTTTTAGTAAGCACATGACTTTCCATTTGTATCATCCAACTGATTTTAAAATGAATCAATGAATGTATTTATTGACTGACTGGCCCACTTCACAAAGGAATGTGAGGAAGGACACTCAATTTGACATCCCTGTGTTTCTCTATATTTGGGTCATGCATTTTGTCTTGCTTTCCAAATTGAAAATGTGGTGGATGCAGTAGATTGGCCTTTAGTATCAGCCCTTCCCTCATTTAGTATACCTTTTCCTGTTTCACAAGCTGGAAAGCTACACGCTCTAGACATCCTTGCTGCTAATATTCTGCATGTGAAATTGGTCTCACCAATTGCACACAACAGAGCAAGATTTGCAGGTGCTGTTTTCATGCTGCTAGCAAATGCAGCTGTCGAGACCACGGTGTTTTGCAGCAGTGTTCCAGTGTCCTGTTGATTGTTCTGTCGGGTGTTGAAAGGAAGCTGGGGACAAGAAATGCCAACTTCCTGACGCCATCTTCCTGATTGTGGGCAGGAACCAGTATGGCACTCTTCTCCAGGTAGTCATCCGTGGATATTCAGCCTTTCTCCAGCCTTTCCAATGATCTCTAATGTCTCCAATCCCCACTGACAAATCCCTTTCTGACTAGGAGTAACTAACTAGCTGAGTGCTGCAATGAAATCCTGACCGACAGATTTGTAAGCTCTTCTTGGGCAGGAACCCTCGATATAAAGCAATGAACTTGCCTTTTAATGGAGTGAAGCCGAGGGATAAACAAATAAGTGAAAAGTTTTAGTAAGATGGTGATATGTAAAAAGTAAAGTTGGTTAAGACAATGGGGAGTGCAGGAGATGAGGTGTTGCCGTTTTAATCAGATAGGTCAGAGAAGGCTTCCTCCTAGGGTGATTTTTGGCCTGACTCTTTGGCATGTCAATTGTGTGCAAGGCCCTGGTGGAGTTACCGTGTTAAAATGCAAATATCCAATTACTCCATTACTTAGATATCCTCTAAGTGATGCTACTGTTGTCCAGCTCCCCGCGATTGAATGTTTACCCATAGTAAACATGGCGGGAAGAGCTTCAATCCGACCCTCGAACGCTCAATAAAAATGGCGACGGCACTTCCTGTGCTTGCCCTCAACAAAGATGGCGTCAACACTTCCTGTTTAAGGTTTTCGCCTTTAACAAAGATGGTGCTTACGATGCAGGTTCCCTAACAATCAGGATTCCGGTTGCAGTTTTTCTCCCCCGCCCCAAAGATACGTGGTTGCAGACGTAAGTAACAGGAATCCATCTTTTCTTGAAAGTCCTGCACTGTAGCATCTGCGACCTGGGCCTGCGGGGGCTTCCCCGCCCCCCAACTTGCTCCCCATTTCCGATCCGGGCCAAGGCTGGGTGGCTGCGGCAGTGCCGGAGGCCCGCTCTCCCCTTGGTCAGCTCTTAAGTTTATTCCCAGCACTCCCTCTTTAGCGGGTCGAGTTGCCACAGAAACCGCCCATAGTTCTTCCTGTTGATAGAAGGGTTTCAGCGGCCGAGGCCGAGAATTTTTTAAAAAGTTACCAATGGGCGCTCACGGCCAAATGTGAACACCTCCCTTCTTCACCTGTCACCTCCCGAACTTCACAGGGTTGCGAGGGGGAGTGTGGGATTGGGTGTCGCCCAGCAGTAGTACTGCCTGGGGGTGTCTGAAGCCGCATCTGTCATCCCTACCTCCCTTCCCTGTCATTTATTCTTCACTGCCTTACACACAACCAAGCCACAGCACACTGGTGCAGCGGTGGTGGAACTGCACCTTCAACTCGTGCCTGACTACTGACCAGTGCTGGATGTGAGCTTTTTTTTAAAGAAAAAAAAAATCCCATAAAATGTCCCATGCAGGTGTGGCCACGATAATGTGCTACAGATTCTGAATTCTTAGTGGGAAGGAATGGAGTTTGTGACTGTATATTGTGTAAGTTTTATTGTAGACTGGGCACAAAACAACCTTTTTCTTGAGGGTGATAGTGTAGAGGACTTTAAGCAAAAAGAGCCTTAAACTCTGTACCTGCTGCTGATTTCTGTCCTGCACTCCTATTACTGATCAGGTTTTGCAAATACTTGCGGTCAAAAGGGCACCTGCGTCCAGTGTGGCAGTTTTTGCCATGGTGGTGGTGCAGGTCTGATGAGGGCAATGTTAAAAACACCATTTCTTCCCCAGCTTGTTAAAACTAATGGTGCTCTGTGATCTTCAGATAAAAAGTGCTTTTTCAGAAGGGTCTCTGACCCACTTTTTTTTTTTTTCTTTTTCTAAATTTCTTTATTGATTGAGCTGGGACCCCATTGTGCTAAAAGCAGAAACAGAAAAGATGATTCATTTTCGGTGTTGTTCATTATGTTAGGAAACGTTCAAAATTAACTTGGCTTCACCCGTGTATTAAATATGGCACTCTGCTACGGTCTGAAGATATGCCTGACCTGAAGGAACTTACATTTCATGTCTGTAATTTGAGCTGTGATTTCGGCTTTTTCCAGGGAGAAATGGAGGCCAGAGACAAACAAGTGCTCCGCTCACTTCGCCTGGAGCTGGGTGCAGAGGTATTGGTGGAGGGACTGGTTCTTCAGTACCTCTACCAGGAAGGAGTCTTGACGGAAAACCATGTTCAAGAAATAAATGCTCAAACCACAGGCCTCCGGAAAACAATGCTGCTGCTGGACATCCTACCTTCCAGGGGCCCTAAAGCATTCGATACATTCCTAGATTCCCTACAGGAATTTCCCTGGGTCAGGGAGAAGCTGAAGAAGGCAAGGGAAGAAGCCATGACCAGCCTGCCTGCAGGTAGGGCTCAGAAAGATCACTTCGAAGCAGCTCCAAAACGTTGGAACTATGCCCTTTGGTTTTGTGTTTGTTGGTTGGTTTGTTTTTGAGACAGTCTCGCTCTGTTGCCTAGGCTGGAGTGCAATGGCATGATCTCAGCTCAGGGCAACCTCCACTTCCTGGGTTCAAGCAGTTCTCATGCCTCAGCCTCCTAAGTAGCTGGGAATACAGGCATGTGCCATTGTGCCTGGGCCAATTTTTGTATTTTTAGTAGAAATGGGGTTTCATTATGTTGGCAAGGCTGATCTTGAACTCCTGACCTCAGGTGATCCACCCACCGCAGGCTCCCAAAGTGCTGGGATTACAGGCATGATCCACCATGCCTGGCCAGAACTATGCCCTTCATATTTGAAGTTGAGATGTAAGGCAGGACAAGGGTCAGCAGTTGATGAAAGTGGGTAAGGAGTTGGGACTGAAGGGACATGATATTGGAGGCATAGGATCAAGAGGTGGCATTAGGAAATGGTGGGAAGGAAGAATGAACCGTGACTGGGAGGTGAAGGAGGGGGGCTCAGAGAATGCATTTAGAAATGCTTCCAGGGAAACCTGGCATGTCACTTGGGAAGCATGTTCCCATCAGAGAGCCAGGTCATATCTCAGCCGTTGGCATCAGGAGCCATTTGGAAAGCGCAGATGGAAAGCAGGCATTCGGCCTACTGACAACTGATTTGTGAGGTGCCAGAGCTACCAGCTGGAAAAGGTCAGATTCATGGAGGAGGAGATAGCCTCTAGGAAGGCATGTCCTGCACCTGTCCCCTGGGCTGTCCTGTGTGGCCAAAGGGGATTATGTTGAAGGCTGACTTGGTTTGTTTTGAAAGGTTATTCGTTTAAAGTGTCCTTTTTAGTTTAGCTTAGTTCAGACAACTGGAGTATTTAATTTTATGGAAAGCAATAGTTTGGGGAGGGTCTCAGTTTGATCTGAAGGAGAATTAGAAGCTGGAGAAGAGAGAAACAGTTCTGGTTCTGTTAGCCTGGCTTATAGCAGGAAGAATACATGATATAGAAACACTTGCTTTTTCTTAACCTCCCTTGGCTCTGTTTTACAAAGATGAAGGAGCAGAGAACTGAACTTAAACATTGAAAAAAAGAGTAATTGAAAGTTGACTTGCACGTTTTTAACAAAGTTAGAGAATCAAGGTTCTCTGGGGTTTTTGATAACAGTGATAGAAGTATTCTGGTTCAGTGGGCCCCAGACTTTGTGGTTGCTGTTTTTTAAATACTGATTTTAAAAAAATGAATACTGATAATAAGACCACTTTTACTGTTTTTGTTTCACGGACCTCATATTTTGACATATGTCTGAATACCTGATCAGCGTGAGATAGTCAGCTAACTTTAGGAAGACCTGGCAGGATTCCAGTGGAAAAAGCAAAAATATTTTCATTTCTAGCTTGGGCTAGTTACAGGTAAATGTATCTCTTAGGCTTTTTTGAAATATTAGAAGTAGCTGGCTTTTGAAGACCACTGGAATTCACTGCTTGGTTTGTCCTTACAAAATTAAGTACTCCACATATCTGAACAAAAATGTATCTAAGATGTTTTTATGACTTTATTGGAAGCAGAGTAGAAAACATGGAGTTGGAGAAATGTTAAAAAATTATTGGTGTTTTCCTGATTTAGAGGTTTCTGCTGGCAACATATAGTTGGAAACAGCAAAATAGGCAAGCTGAAAGCCTTTCACTATCAAAATACTGAATCTAATTTTATGGTCATTTTGGGTGATACAAATCATGCTGTTGTTATGTGATTCATAGAGGGATAACCCCATTTTTATTTCTTCGGATTCATTCAGACAGAAAGAATTAAGGTGCTTTTTACAAAATGATGAAAGTTACATAGAAGCTGAGGAAAAATAGTTGTTTTAAAAAGCTAACAGAATGAAGCAGTACATAATGGGGAAAAAATTGAGCATATCTGTGTAGAAGTTTAGAAAAATAAGGTTTCTCTCAAGATTTGTTAATTCTGTAGAAGGTTGGCCCTGGAACAAATTCGTACAGTCATCTTAATTGTTTTGCTTTTTATTGAGTAACACTACTATTGAAAAAAATATTCTGAAGTGAGGGTTTGATTTATGTATGTCTTTGAATACCTTCCACAGCGACAATCACATAAACTCATTTAAAAAAGACTTGTATTTATTAAATATTGACTATATTAAATAATATAAAATATAAATAAGGTACAGAGAATAATGGTACAGTGAACACCCATCTCTCCATCACTCAGTTTAAGAAAAATAATATTATGATTGCCTTTAAGAACTGTGGGTATTCCTTCCCAATCCTGTCTCATTCCCAGCCCCACTCAGTGAAAAGCCCTGAACTGGGAGTTTATCATTCACTTCTTTACTTTATAGTTTTCTATCTCATAAAAATCACTTTAAAAATCTTCATGTGTTATTGAAAATCCTGTATACCATAAGTTCTAGAGATGTGTGTATTATATATATATGTAATATGTATATATACACACACTTTTTTTTATGTATGTGGGAAGGAAAGGGTTGAAGAAATGATGCATTTAAACTTGATAGTTAACACCTTTTCTTGCGTCAGACCTTAAAATATTATTTGTGTGTTTAAAGTAATTAATTGGTGACAGTATTCTAATTCTAAAATCAAATTGGGATTTACTGAATTGGAAACCTAGGTTTTGTTTCTTTTGTAAATCCTGGGAAGAATATCAGAGTTGAAATCCCTTCAATTTAACGTCCCTGTAAAAAAGAAATCCAGAACCTGCTGCCTAAGACCCCCATGCTTCTCCACTGTTGTAATAGAGTCATTTTAGTAAGATTTAAAATAGTCCACTTTAATTTGTGTAACGATCACTTTGAGTTTTCAGGAACCGGACTCTAGGAGAATTGGTGCTTTTATACATGTATGTACACATTAACCTCTTCTTACCTTTTCCTCATTTTGATCATACTTATTAATTAATTTGCTTGGATTCAGTAGTCTTCTTTTGGGAGGCCTGGAGAACAAATGGGAAGGAATGGCCTTCTCTTTAGCCAAGAGGTTGATCCTTCTCTAAGAATGAACTGATTTTATTTTGTTAAAGTTTTCTGGTTGTCTTCCCAGAGATGCTTGGTTTCTCCTTTATTGGGTTGTTGTTTGAATTTTTGTTGTTTCATTTGGAAATTTTGAGCTGTCTCAGAGGCTTTATTTTGGTGATTGATCCTGGTTAGCAGCTTTTCACTTAGGTGCTGGGTGTCATTTTTTAGAGAAGAATTGAGCTGTATCTTGTTCTTTAGCTCTACTCTTCTAAACCCCACCCCCATCAAATCTCAAAACACACGAAAACACTCTAAAACCTTTTGATTCTCTCAGAATCTGCCTAGTTTGGCAGATTCCCAATATCTGTTAGAAAAAAACGTTTAAGTTGTTAAAGTTGTTAATGGATCATCGTTTTTCTCACTCTGTAAAGACTCTTACCTTTTAAAAGAGGAATTCTGGTGATAAAATGACTTAATCCACCTTGGCACAGTAGAAAGAACACTTCATGGTATGTCATTCTGGCCAAGGTCACATACTAGACATTAGATCAGCTGGAAACCCTCTCTGGGCTCCTGTCAGGTCATTTAGGAGATAGGGACAGTGCTGTGTCTGGGTGAAGGCAGCCTGTGCCTGCCTGCCTGCCTTCCCACTGCTCATGGGCCCTCTCGGCACTGACAAGCTCCTTCCAGTGCCTGAGCTAATCTAGATCTGGAAAGGAGGTTGATGGCAGCCCAGTCTCCCCATCTGGTGGGACTCAGCCTAAGTCATGGTGGGAGTGACTGCTGGGCCACAGGACTCCCTGTTCCACTGTGTTGGCCCTGGTTGTGGGTCTGGGTGTCTGCCATGATTCTCACTTAACTGTCTGCCTGGTAACCCTGCCTTTTACCCCAGTCTTCCTTTAAGCTTGGGAGTGTTTTTGTTTTTCTCTCCTCCCTTGGTTTGATTCCTGCTTTATGTACTCTTAGCTGCAGCAAGAGCAAAGAACAGAGCTCTGGGAACACAGCTCAATGTTTCCGGCATCAGCATCAGATGTCTCAACTCTTGAGCCTATTAGAATGGCTGTCCCTAGCCTGACACTTGCTTCAACCTTCCCCGGGCTTGACCTTGTCCTTCCCATATACCCTGTGTCCTGGACTCCCTGGCTGCTCTTACAGAAGCAGTGCACAGGACTGACTAGTCCGTTTCCCCTCTATCTGTGGGCTCCAGGGCTCTGCTTGCCCCTTGTGGCACCAGCCTTGAGTGATGACACAGAACCACACCTGCCACCTCCTGAGATAACACTCTAGCTTTGAGTTGCATACCTGGAGGCATCTGAAGTTGCTGAGCTCTTAATGCAGACATTTTAGATATTGTGATGGGTTTATTAGAGAGGTTTCTAGCTTGGGATTGTTTTCATAGGTCCTCCAATCATACCATGTAATTGACCCTGCTGTACATGTAAGTTCAATGTTGATCTCAGTGCATCTTGCTTGCGGTCTATCCACGTGCTTCCACTGTGACTGAGTAGTGTTTGCTTAGTGGAATCCTGTGTACTAGAGTGAGAACAGTGGGTCAGTATCCACAGCAAGACCCTTCCCTCTGGTAAGGGGAAAGTCTGCAAAGAGCCCAGGTTTCTGTGTATACCCAGCTGGATTTTCATCTACTTCTTGAGGACCTCCTGAATGCCAGGTACTGGGTATATTAAGGCAAATGGAGGATCTTCAGATCAGCTGAGGGCATTCATGTGTTCATCCAGCAAATATTTGCTGAGTATTGACCATGTGCTAGACCAGCGGTCCTCAACCTTTTTGGCACCAGGGACTGGTTTTGTGGAAGACAGTTTTTCCACAGACAGGTAAGTTGGGGGAAATGATGGTGTGGGGATGAAACTGTTCCACCTTAGATTATCAGGCATTAGATTCGCATAAGGAGCATGTGACCTAGATCCCTTGCATGCACAGTTCACAATAGGGTTTCCACTCCTAGGAG